GATGGGGTGGCAGGGCGGCGCGCTGGGGTCGCGCGGGGAGGGCATCACGGAGCCCATCATGCCCGCCATCGGCATCGTGAGACACTTTTACATATATTTTATATATAATTTTGTACTGATATATCAAATAAAGGCGATTATGTACAAGGCAATCCTTACACCCAAAGAATACTCGCATTAAATTACGCTCAAGAAATTCCGCATTTCGTCCAACGAATGCCAGAAGCCTTATAGTCTTCTTCCCCTTCCCACATTTTTTTTTGCAACAGTGTAAAGGATTTGACGGAGGAAAGGGAAATATTATCTCTCCGTCGAGTAATGATAGGCTACTTATCTCTTATGGGCAGCGGTCATTTCGCTATTTTAGGGAATTATGACACAATAAGAACCTTTATACACACCTTATATTTGTTATTAAATAATAACTATTTTATTATATAACATAAAATAATGAATTCTGTAACCTGTCTGTTTTGACTTTACTATGAATATCTATTCCAGCAACCCGGCGCAGGCTTGGGACATGGCAGTAATCTTTTTAAAACTAATGTAATCGCAACCAAGGACCCCCAACCTGTTCCCCTTGTACAACCTGAAAATATACCCAATAAGGATAAATCTGTAAGTATTACCTAGAATATAATTTATATAAAATCTTACTATATTTGAATGAATGAATGGATGTTTGAAGGAATTCCGCACAGACAGAGTCACAGGTAAAAGTTAGTTATCAAATAATTTGTGTTAATCTTCATTTGCTTTGCAAAACCCGGTCATATATTTAGGTCAATATTTACAATTTATTTAAGGTATCTCTTATGATCCTTTGACTCTTAAAATGAAATTTAAAAAAAACGATGTTTGAAAAATATAAATAATATACTGTTTCATCAACACATACAAAATATATTTTTACAGGCACTGTCCTATTGTATTTATAATTAGTTTGTTTGTTTTGTTTCAGTCAAAGAAAGCAAAGAAATGCAGACAGAATTACACAGTAATTGAAGGTGAAGAGACTTGTTTAAAGATATTAAGTAAAATCCTCGAATTTATTAAGTCGAGTGAAGGAAAAATGGTGTTATATTTCGATGAAATACTTCAAGAAGAAGACACGAGATTCGTTATTTGCAGTATTGATAGATTTAATAGGAGAAAATATGTTCGTAATTTGAAATCACAATATGGCGCTGACGACCTTAGGAAAGTGCAAGAAGCCATGTTGTCTAAACCACATGTCAATTTAGCCGCCAAAATAACAGAAGATAAAAAGTAAGTAACTATTTTTCGATAAAAATTCTGTCTAAATAACTAGAATATTTTCAGTTACTATAAGAAATCTCAGTAGAAGTGTAATACATAGAAACATTACCCTTCTGTCTTTTGGGGAAAAAATCATTGAATAATTTAAGATTTTTTTGTATTTATTTATCAGTAACATCCATACTTTTTTATTGAATAATCTTTTAAGAATGTTAAACTTTTTTATTTATTAATAAACTAGCTTTCGCCCGCAACTTCGTCCGCGTGGAATTATAAAAAACAAAAGTGAGTAGTCTATGTGTTCTTCCAGACTATCTCCTACATCTCTAGCAAATTTCATCGAGATCCTTTCAGCCGTTTAGGCTACAAACTCTAACAAACATCCATCTAAACTTTCGCATTTATAATTTTAGCAAGAAGTAAGATTAATAAGACTTCAGTGCTTTTAATATCATATACTTTTTTATTCAACCATAATAATAACATGCAATTAGAAAATTTTCTCGTAAAATTCTTAAAATTTTAATACTAAGAAATTGTTTTTATTATTCAATTATTTTTACAGAGAAATTGTATTAACAAAGACATTCAAAGGTGAAAACAACAACGAAATCGATGTAGACTTTGCTATTGATAGCAATGATTCTATTCGATTGAACATTTCTGTATTCAGATACATAAAGTCTATGAAACCTAAACAAATGTATGGTATTTTCACCAAACCATCGTACCAACTGCTAGGTTTTAAATTATCTATGCTAGAACAGATATTAAAATTCTTGGATGAGAAACAATCTACGTTAATGTTATATATCGATATAAATTTAAATGACAAACATACAGATTACTTGCAAAATTTCATTGATGTTATTAATATGGGTCGTAAACCAAGATATCCGACAGAAGCTGAAGAAATACTCGTAGAAAAAATATACAATAAAATAGGAGATTATTGTCTCATATTAGATTGTTTTACACCACTCAAGTAAGTGCCTTTATTGCTAATTATGTTAAATTGTTTAAGGGCTGTCCCACCACTGGCTGATAAGGCGCAGGCAGATAGCTTAAAAGTGACTTCACTGTCAGATAGAGTACCAAAATCGGATATTTCCATCACATATTTTATACGTTAAATTATCTGACAATTTTCAAGAATTGTGGGACAGGCCCTATATTACACTATCTTTTGCCCCAGACTTCATCTGCGCGGAATTAAAAATGACTTACAAAGTAATTAATGCGTTATTCTTATGTTGTACATTGTTCCAAATTTTATTGAGATATGTTGACCAGTTTTGGAGATAGAAAGTAACATCTATCCAAATTTTTCTCATTATTATTTGTATTTTTTTCTTTCAGAATAATAAAACTACAGAAAAGGAATCGTAGCACACAAGATTCCGGAGTTTGTGAATCAAATAATAATGAGTTAGGAACAAAGGAATTAAAACAAACTGAAAAAGATATATTGATAGAAAAACAAAATAATGATAATTCAAATTCAATAAATACACATGAGTTTGATATTGAAAAAACGGTTGAAACGATCACTTCACGTGTTATTAATAATATATCGCACATGTATGGAAATAATTTAAATAAGACGGATTCTGACAATACATCAGTGCTACAAGAAAATAAAGAAACGGTAAAAGAAACCGTAAAACCAAACAATTTATCTAAAACAATAAAAGAGGTTATTGAAGTTCAACAAAAAATAGATGAAATTACAATTGACTTAACGGAAGAAAATTCATCTGAAGTAGAACAAATTGAAAATACTCCTATGCAAGATTTAAAAAACATAGAAGAAACTTTAGAAGATAATAAAGAAGTTATTGAAAAAGATATAGAAGTACCTCAAGATATAGAGGAAAAAGATTTATCCACAGAAAGCGAAGACATTTTAAAAATAATAAATGATCTAGAACAATCTATTAGAATAGAAGAAAAAGATCTCGATGATGAACTCAATCATAAGAGAAATCGTTCAGATTCGAATGATTCCCAATTACAAGATACAAAGAAAGTGAAACATCAGTCAATAAAATTTTATAAACATATTGAAATAACACCAAATAACGCGGTAGAAACTATGAATACAAATTTAGCTGGAATCGTACAAAGTCTTATATCTAACGCAATAGATAATACTGATTCTTTACCATTATTACAGTGCAATGGTATTGTGAATGATAAATTATTATATATTTGTTATAACGAAAACACATACAAATGGATAAAAACAGTATTAAAGGACCAATTCTTAGTTTTAGATACGGAACATTTGGAGGGTAGACGTAAATTGAAAATCCATTTAAAAACGTATATCTATGATGATACAGCGAAAATTTTAAATAGAATAAAAATTTACAATTCTTATTTAGATGTAGATAATTGGAAAATACATAAAACATTTGTTTCTGTTGATTCTACATTTTTATGGATTGAAGTTGATGAAGAAGATTATGGTTTTATAAGTCGTAGTGCTTTTTCATTATTTGCTGGTATTGATAAAGCTACATTCAGTGTTACATGGGATTGAAATTATTTGGAATACATTTTCTAAATATATTTATTTAAGACTTATATATCCCAATAAGACTGTACAATTGTATACAAATATAAGTGAAAAGTTAATTAAAAACAAATCGGACTTGTACGGGTTTACAATTTCTGCTGCCATAAGTTAAATATAGAAATAAGTTCACTTTTCTTTCAAAGAATCATTGCCTGTTAAGAGTTTATTTGCCACTTATTACAAAATTCCCAAATTCTTTAATTTTTCTACATTCTTTCTTTTATAAATCTTAATGCTCCTTACATTACTAAAATCTCTAATTTGTTTTACGGTTTCTAACTTTTTGTATAGATTTCTTACTGTATTTAATAACTTTTTCTTTGTGGGAATGAATAACTTACTTAGAGGTAATAAATGATGAGTTACTATCTATGTTAAGTAGTTTATTGTGGTGTTGACTTTTCTATACACAGCGTCACAATGTGTAGAACATTTAAGTAAACCCAGTAAGATTTAAAAGATAGTTTCTTCTGAAAACATTCAGTTTGTGATTGATAAAAGATTTTATACAGATATCTTTCAAGTGTACATGGTTTAGTAAATACATAGAAATTGTCTTTTTTATTGTACTTGTAAGATATATGGGCTGTGCTCTAATAAGTGTGATATTTTTTTATATAATTGATATTAGATATGTTTTCAAGTATTAAAATCATATTTAGAAGAAACATGACACGTTCTGTGTTTTATTTAAGTTTTTTTAGTTATGTTACTTAACTTTTGTGATCCTTTTTTTTAGAAATATTTTCTTGAATTGTGATTTATTGTTAATCAGGTTTTTACGGTTTTGACTTTACATGCATTAGGTAACTGAGTTTTTTATTCTGTATAATTACGCTTTTTTCATATAAATGCTGAGTTTCCTGTAAGTTCATTTAAAATCAAAATCGTAAAACCTGACGCGGCTGTCAGGCCGTGTGCATTAGGTTAAGAATCTCATGTATACTTATGTCTATAGAATTATCTTTTTTGGGGAATTTTTTGTTATTGACGAAATATCCCCCTATTAAGTTAAACTAATCCATATGTTCAAGACTGTTATATGTATGCAAACTAATGCGATAAAAAAATTGGTATGACTTCCCAGAGCTTACCACACAAATGTGTAGTTTTAATTGCCTTCAATATCCTAAGAATTTTTATACAACCTAAAAATGTGGTGGGATGTAAATTAATAATACACCTTGGATTCCTAAACATTTATTAGAAAAAAGCTCAAAGATTTCACAAGATAAATAGAAACTGGTGTTCCTAGACCCTTCGTTTCTTTTTTTAATACAATTAAGCAGATAAGCATTCACCTGCCTTATCATTTTATTTTGTTTCACTTAATCTAAACTTTATGAAAATATCAGAGATAGCAAATTTCGTTAAGTTGGAACTACATATTAGGCTCGACTTGTGTACAAAAAGGTCTCAGATACATAAAAATTTCATTTATAATATAAAACTAGGTATAAACACCCTTGTGCTGTAAAAGGATATACTCAATTACGAATGTAACTAAGATTTTCCAATCTTTTCTGTAATTTATTGGAAAGTGTTAAAGTTAATGTTAAGTCATTTTTTGTAATGATCATAAATAAAGTTAAAACTATTTGGAATAATTAGTTTTATTTTAATGCTTAAATAAATAAATAAAATCTTAAGCATCAGCAACAACTTCAGGCTCAGTCTTGGGCAGCAAGCCGCGTATGCTCAGGTCATATACAACTTCCTCTATTTTCTTCACATCATACTTTAGAGCGTCAAATCGCTTTCGCAAATGATCGTTCTTGAGATTCAGCAATCTGAAACATTTTGTTAATTCAACTTTATCAGATGGCAATTAGAAGTCACCCCTGATATTAACTTATTACTAAAAATGAAGAAAAATATATCTAAATCTCTGAGTGAATGAGACATTTTTGACTATATATATTTACCTGAAACCAGCATTAAGTTCCATAACAAATTTGGATATTTGTAATGGTCTGTTGTAATCACCGCGAGTGACAGAGTTCACAGCAAGCCGTGACTGCAAAGAATTACAATCAATAATAACTATAAACACACAATTTTTTGAAGAATAATTGTGGGTATTTCTAAATCTTACCAATTCTGAACACAAATTCAATAATCCAACCAAGTAGTCTTCAATATCAAGATGGAATCCTTCTTTTTCTTCTGTTGCACTGACTAAAAACATATCATTATTAGGTTATTTATAAAAGTGAGAGTGAGTGGTTATTTATTTGTAAGAGCGTCGGTGGCTCAGTGGTTTAAGCACTTGACTTGTAACCTACAGGTCTTGGGTTCGAATCCCGCCATGTACCAATGTGATTTTCGATTTTTCGGATTTTCATATGTACATAATTTACCGGACGTCCTTACGGTGAAGGAAAACGTGATGCAAACTGCACATATCGGTGAAGAAATTCAAAGAGATGTGTGAAGTCGACCAACCAGCACTGGGCCAACGTGGTTGACTATGGCCTAGTCACCCCTTAATAGGGTAGGCTCCGAGCCCCTCCGTGGGGACATATAGTGAGCTGGTGATAATTATAAAAGTGAAAAGTTTATTAGTTTATAATTAGCAGTTAGCATAATATTGCATTGAGATTTGATAAAAGTGTTGTAAATTAGGTATATCTAAAACTACTTACTACCAAGAATCTCAGCTACTGTATCATGTGAAGCCATTATCCCTTTCTCCAGCCAAATTGTGAGAGAAATCAAATAGCAGAAGCGTTGAGTCATGAACCTCCAGTGATCCTGGTACCTGGAAATTAATTTGCATCATTCTCATATTAAACACATCTGTAGAAAAGGCAGGTATAATTCAACATAGTTCTGTCAACTTTTCACATTTATCCATCTTCCTACATGCTTATCACATCTCATATAGAAGCTTGTGAGTGTTGAAATTGTACTTGTAGTAATCAGTAGATGGTACAGCATCCTTTAGTTTAGCATATCCAGCCCTGGCCTTCTCAAACATCTCTCTCGCTTGAAGACAAGCCGGAGCAACTGAAATCGATAATGTAAATACTTAAGTGTTATAACAAATGTGATAAATTAGAAGGAGCTGTTACAAACATTAGTTTTGTGGTAGACAGTTCATTATTTAGGGGACATGTCTCACAAAGCAAAAATAGATATAAACCTATACTTACTGCCATCCTCATTATAGTGAATTACTTGAAGTATCGTTGTTACAGAGCGATATATGGAATCAACATCTTTGCAAATATTGCGGATAACCTATAACCGTAACCACATTCAGTTGCATTGAGACATATTACAAATATTTATATTATAAAATAGTGAATTTGGAGGTTTTGTATATTTCGATTTGATAAAAGGTATCGTACAAACTAAATTGAATTTATAAAATGTGTCACATTATTCCGCACATTTTAATGTTCACTTATCGTTACCTCGCGTATTTCTTGCTCCTCATCGAGACTTTTTTGAAATTCACTAAATATATTATTTATAACAAGATTTCCACTCATTTTCGTATCGTATTTATCAACAATTGAATCAAGATCAAGGATAAACTCCACAACGAAAATGTAAACAAAATTGTTATTTGTTTCCAATGTGTTTTTTGGCCGGCTTATAATTGAATGAATGAATGACAATCTTTGACGTTTATGTATGGATAAAAATTCTTATTCGATACTTTGCTCTCTCGATTTTAAATATCGATGATCTACAAAAAAAGATTTTAAATTAATAACTTAGTAAGTTAAATTCATATAATTTCATACCTCAATATAAAGGCATTATTTTTAAAATGTAGTAAGGGGAGGTAAATAAAACAGATTATTTAAATTAAATCAACTCATAATGAAATTAAAAAAAAACTGTTTTAACAGTTTTATATATATCAATTTTTAATTATTCCACTTAACCAGGAGGCCAGCGCATTTGTCTTCCCCCCAAGATATGAAGATGGAGATGGTAAACACTCTGTGCACCATTCTTCCCATCATTGATAACAAGCCGGAAACCGCTTTCATCAAGTCCTTCCTGAGCAGCAATTTTTCGGGCAGCAATCATTAGATGTCCTGAAAGAAAATTTTATGAATTCACAGCTTAAAAACCCGGAATCTTATTTTTGTTTTTTACTTTAAAGATAAAGTAGAAGATAAAATAGAAAAAAGATTTTCTAGATATAGAAATGAACAAATTGAAAATATGTATAAAAGCAGGTTCTAAAAAATTCTTTTCAAATATCCCCTGTCAATAATTATATCTAATAATAACTATTATTTGATAAGTCTATTTACCCAGAAGTTGCTCATCTTCATCAGAAGCTTTGGAAAGCTGAGATATTGGTTTTCTAGGAATCACCAAGATGTGAGTGGGTGCTTGAGGATTCACATCATGGAATGCTACACACTGAAAGATTGCATAAGTTAAATATAAGATTTTATAAGCTATAATAATGTAGAGAAATAAAAACAAATAGTTACAGGTTAAGTGCTCTTAATTGCTTGCTAAATATCGAGAAAAAAAAGCCCGAGTTTAACAAAATATCTCTACCCGTACCGCAAAGTATATCTTTTCTTTTTAAATTTCGAAATGTAACATTAAAAGGTTATTTTGAAATATGTGTAAAGACTTTGACCGGCATACAAAAATTACATAAGAAACCAACAAGATTCGGGAATTTTATTGCTATGCGGTAGCATTTTTTGTGCATTATTATACAAGGTTGATAAGTGGGTATAAAAACTTAAAATGAAAAATTACTTGATCATCTTCGTAGACAAATTTAGCAGGTATTTCTTTTCTTAATATCTTGCCAAAGATAGTATCGCCGCCAGGAAGAGCGGATTGGGCTAATTCTACTTCATTAGCCATTTTCCATTAAAAAAATACGTGACGATCTCTAGCAATAGCAAATATCTAATCTGAAATGTTTTGAAAATCTAGAAAAGACATATAGAAGTGCCCACAGACTATAGAACTTGGTTTATGGTTTGTAATCTGTCTTAGTCAGAGAGACGTGATATTTTGTGTCAATTTGATTTTCGCCATTTGCAAGCAATGCCCATTTATGGAAATCAGTGTCCACTACCACAATAGACAAGAACACAGATTGATTTTACAACTGCTGTTTGTAGTATAACTTTTGGACAAGAATTATAAAAGAAAGAAAACAAATAGCATTCCTCATCAGCATTTATTATACAGTTTTCACAGGCACTTATTAATTTTTCACAGTCTGGAGTTTGGCATTATTGGCCACAGAATACCTTTAGAATTTTTACTAATAATATGAATAGATTTTACTTTTCCAGATTTTAAATCTTCATTTATCGTGATCTGATAAGAATTTCCCTCGAAACCCCTCCGTATAGCAACTTTATTTGCTACAACAATAAGATGCCCTGCAACCATAGATAAAACAAAACATAACTTCTATGATGGCAACCATGTCTATGAATTTTCTTACATAACTTTTGAACTTAAAAGTGTAATTAATTATTAAAATATTGAAAATTCCGAAAAAAAAACAGATTAATAATAGCTTTGTTAAAAACACTTTAATTGCTTGGTCTATTTGTACGATATTTGTTAAAATGACAATCCCTGTGGGTGAAATATTGGTAGATAATTCTTAAGTTATAAATATGTTAACATTACCTAATAGTTTCTTATCATCAGACAGCGCATTAGATAATACAGATATATTCTTTTTTGGTATAACAAGAAAGTTCTTTTGTCCATGGAGATTTGAATTTTCCTCCAAAACAATACACTGAAATTTATTGGTAAAAAGGTTATATCGTTGTTATTAATTGAGAAGTACGTTATTGAGTTTAACTAAACTGGGTATTCAATCACCTGATTGTCTTCGTAAATTAAAATCTTATTTCCGTACAAGATATTATTTTTTAGCATGTTTGACAAAATTTTAGTGCTTAGTCTTATTGCGAACAAAAAAGGCTATATAAGACGTGTATTCACTACAAACATCACTTCCCATTTGTTTACACTTGAACCTGAACAAGTTTTTCCTTTGACGTCTTTCGTTAAAAAAATATCTATTCTCAATGAAATATTTTTAAGATTACCGAGCCTTTGCCGAGTAATTTTCGTAAAAACTTTTTCCCTACTTTTTATTCACTCTGAGACTATAATATGTTTTAATATGAATGTATCGGCAATGGAAACCAAGGGTCAAAGATTATACTAAGCTAAATAAATTAAATAATACCTATTACGTATGTTATATAATTATATAAAGTTATTTTGTTATCAAACCAGATAAGATACTAATTGGATATAAACAAAATATAGGTTTTAAATCTCACAATTATGTTTTGTAAACTATTATCCTTCTTTGGCATTCCTTTTTCTTTTTAATAGATTTCTTCCTGCTTTGTTTCACATCTCAAGGCTGGAAATTATGCTGGAGAACATTTCTGAAAGTTTTCTGGGTGTTACGAAATAGAAAATATCAATGTAAAGTTTATATTTTATAAGTACGCATATACATTAGGTATACAATGACAATAACAAATATTCTAATAATATACAGATAACACAAATTTAAGGAAATTAAACAAAACAGGCATTGTCAACATCAGTTGGTATACGAGATCTAAATAAAAAATAGTTATTCACATTTTACACCACATGAGACAAACATAGTAGGCAGTAAATAATATTACTTTGAGTCGTAATTAAAGAAGTACATGGAGTACGAAATAACGTTTTCGGTATGTACAATGTCAATATGAATTGCTATAATATAAAGGACACAGACACACAAGTTATTATCAATTAATGGTAAAAAAATAAATAAACATTGTAATAATCCTTTGAAAATTGGAGAAAAAAATATTTTTAGAGCTCTATTCATTTTAAATAAAAATTAATTCTAACTTTTATACATTCTTGTGTGCAAATTAAGCATAAATATGCCCTTAAATTTTAATAACACATTTCTCAAGTTAGTGGTCGTTTTCACACAATAAAACATTAATTGATGCGCTTAAATGAAAGGGAATTTTTTTTAAACACAATTAAGTTGGCATGTCGTATGTAAGAGAAATTTTCTATCGTCGTGCCAAATTAAATGTTACTATAAATAGTTTATACTTGGAGTTTTAAGAGTCAAAGATATAATTTTTATTTACATTGTAAAGACAATTTTAACATAGTGTAATATATTATAATATAATTAATATTAACTTATAATTTACTTACATTTGCACTATCTCAAGCATATTTACATAACAATATAATTCAGATGTAAAGGAAGGAATATCCACGATAAACGAGTGCCTGAAATACAAAATATAGGTCATCTCTCGTTTTTAGAAGGGAATGAGTGGGATGTCAATATGTTTTAGTTCTAGTGTCTCGACAAGGGGAAACGATGGTAAGAATGAATTTACATAGTATCCCTACATGACTTATTGAAAAACCTAAATGTGGCTTGATGACATAAGACACAGGTTGATTTAAGAATATTTTTATCAATTACAAGTCACTATTAATTTTATAATACATTATATACAAATGTCAAAAATAAGGACAGATTTTTGCAAATAGTAAATCTATTTATTTGGTTAAAATCATAAAAATATATCAGTTTGTTACATTCATATTTTATTTTAGAGTTAAAAACATTGCTGCTGTCAAAAACATAAAATAGGACATAACAATATTTATTTTGAAATCGCTCACAGCCTTATTTTTAGTAGTACATATTTATCATGGCAACATTAAAAAATATTTTACACATCTGATATTTTCAAAGAAAGTCACTAAGCAAAAATTTAATTTGTAATAGTAATAAATTTTTAGTATACTACATTCTCAGTCCACATTTAAAAAATTGTAATCCATAAATAAGAATAGAGTCCACAATCATAAACAATAGACAAGTCGGCATATTTATTACTAATAAAAATAACACATAACAGTAAATAACAAAAAATACTCACCACTATTATAAAACACGCACTGGACGTTTATTCAATACACTTTGTTTTTTTTTTAATAAAAAATCACATCACTGGTTTCACAAAATCACTTGAATTGGTTCATGATGTTAATAGTGTTTTTGGTATATAATGAGTAGTCGCTACCCCCACGCGGGGTCGTACTTAGTCCAGGGGTAGTCGGGGGCGAGGTAGACCCGCCGGCCGCGGATGAAGCACGTCACAATACCCATGTACGCGGTACGAGGTATACCACTCTGCAAGTAAAATAATTATCTTACTAATATTGTTAACTAGCTTTCGCGCGCGACTCCGTTCGCGTGGAATAAAAAAAAAGAAAAGTAAGTATTGTAATGTGTTCTTTCATACTCTACATATATGCCAAATTTCATCGAGATCCATTCAGCAGTTTAGGCTACAAACTCTAACAAACATCCATCCATCCATTTAAACTTTTGCATATAATATTAGTATGATGCCAAAGCTCAGATGGCTGGATAGATGTTTGTTAGACTTTGTAGCCTCAACTGCTGAACAGATCTCAATGAAATTTGTCATAAATGTAGAGGATTGTCTAGAAGTACACATAGGATACTTACTTATTTTTATTTAATTCCATGTAGACGGAGTCGCGGGTAAAAGCTAGTTAATTTATTAACTATTACTTCAATAACACACTTTTTAATCTTTATAAAGACATATTTTATTACTTTCAGTCAGACTAACTTAATATAAAAACAGTTTCAGTGTATATAATTTCATAAAATAATAGGAAATTACAGCCCAATTCACAGAAACCATTACTTAAACACTAGTTTTCGCCTGCGACTTCGTTTACGCAGAATTAAAAAATAAATTAGTAGTCTATATGTTCTTCCAGACTATTTTCTACCTCTGCCAAATTTTATCCAGATATGTACAGCCATTTAACATCCATCCATCTAAACTTTCGTATTAATTATTGAGATTTTTTAAATATTCTGATCGAGAGCTTCTATTTAGTATATGTATTTAAACCCTTACTCTAAAGTCATCCATAAGGCCTAGTTTCTTGGCGGCCTTCTGGTAAGTCTTGGCGTTGGAGTATGGCACGCGCACCGGCTGCCGGCCCGCGCTCGACACCACCTCATCCGCAGACATCTCTGCCAGCCCGTACACCGTCGACATTAATGTCTCGTCGTACACGTCCTAGTGGATTCAAAAAAAGAATTGTCTATAGTTTTATACAAACAAGCCGCCACCTGAATTCTTTAAAATGGCGATTTGACCGAGATAAAAAAAATTGTCTATGGTTTTTATACCAGCAAGTCGCCACCTGAATCCGTTGAAATGACAAAGTGACCGCAATAAATAAAAATTGTCTATGGTCGTATGGTTCAAGCGGCTACTTAAATCCATCAAAATGGCGAAGCGACCACTGCCCAAAGACATTCGCAATAGCGAATGCGTTGCCTTGATAGACGGAGGAGACGCACATAATGAGGATATTTCCCCTTTCGATGTGTTTCCTTTACCGTCAAATCCACTTTCACATCCGATTCTTTCCTTATAAGACGAGTATTTAATATTTTAAGGTGGCAATTGGCCAAAAGACGCAAGTTGTCAAAATAGCGGGAATTGATTTTAAAAATTTTTATGTATATTGTTTTTTACTTAACGTGTTATTTACCTTAAGCAAATACGTGAGGTTGAGTTTTGTGAATTCGACAAAATCCGTGTTGAGATGCATGTAACGGAGATGCATGTCGAAGAACAAGCCCTTGCTCACTCCCACCTGAAACAAACATTAAAAAAACATACTAACATAATGCTATAATTTGAGGTACAGTCGCGGAAATCCGCAGTGTACCACTTACAGAAAAATCCTCTTCATGTAAATAACAATTAGATAACAGGGAGTTGTGCAAATAACATGGAATAATAATTCAAAGCAATTATCTATGTACGGAGCGATCTTTTTAATACAAATACATTTAAAAGCTGTGTCATATAGTTTTTATTCTGCGTCGTCGTCGCAGCATATATAAGATTTAAACGGCTGTAACTTTTATGATGGAACACCGCTTGACTCCGTGATTGTGCATTGCATATTTTGTTTTTTTATTATGCAAATAAATATAGTAAAACAATGTATCGTTACCTTCCCAAATGAGTAGGTGCGAGATATCTCCGGTCTAATACAAGCTCGGCCGTCTGTGTTCTTTGGATCCCGCAGCCAGTCATCGAAGAATCTGATAATTGGTATAAATGTACATGTTTTAATAAATTTAGTAACAAAAATACTTAACAGCTAGATATATATAAGCATCGGTCGTCTCAGGGGTTTTAGCACTTTACTTAAAATCTTGGGTTCGAAACTAGTTATTTACTAATGTGATTTTCGATTTTCGTATGTGCATAATTTACCCGACGTTGTTACGGTGAACAAAAACATAGTAATGCAACCTACGTATATTTGCGAAGAAATTAAAAAAAATGTATAAAGTCAACCCGCAGTACGGCGTTGTTGACTATGGCCTAGTCACCTTGCATAGGCTTCGAGCCCTTCAGTGGGGACTGTGAGCTGGTTATGATATGTGAAAATGAACTTACGCTTCTGGCCACTTAGGTTCTAAATTGGCCCAGGTGTCTTTACGCAGGATCCAGCCGAGTCCGGGGAAGAAGTCAGTGCGGTGCAGCAGCTCGGGCCGCGACATGTCAATCACCTCGCGCTTACCGTTGTCATTCCAAGCTGACACACACCTGATGTACGGAAACCATATGATAGCTATTGACAAATTGAAAATTATGTCATAGTTAATGACATACCATGAAAATATAACAAGGCTTAATTATTTGTATGTAATTTTTTTTTTATATCATAAGGCGGCAAACGAGCAAGCGACCACCTGAATCCGCCAACATGGCGAAGCGATCGCTGCTCATAGGTATTCGCAACAGCGGATGCGTTGCCTACGCTTAATAGACGGAGGAGACGCACATAAAGAGGATATTTCCCCTTCTTATGCGTCACTTCTATCGTCTAGTCCCCGTTCTCTTCCCATCCTTTTCTTATAAGAAAATAGTGCCTATTACGGCACTATGATGAATTTAATAGTCACTTAAGTAGTCCCTCGATGTATCTCTAAATTGTTAGTGTAACCATTAACCGACCCTGAGTGTTCTACCCTTAGTTTGTATGAAAAGCCACTACTAGCTTCGATCAAATATACTTATACTTGATAGAATAAAGTAAGTGATCTATATTAACTTACCATATACTTGGATCTTTCAGAAGTAGAGGATACGTGCCCAGGAAATATTCGAAGAAATCTGGCGATATATCCAAGTCATCTGTAAGTTAACAAAACAAAAAACTTTATAATAAAATCAGGTTCCGCATAAAAATCTATAATAATATTATAAAGAGGTAAGATTGTATTTTTGTATGTATTTAAATAACTCAAAAACAACTGGGCCGAATACAAAAATTCTTTCACTATTAAATAGCTACGTTATCACTAAAGTACATAGGCTATGCTTATTAAAAAAATTATTTCCGCTCGGACAAAATCGCGAGCAACAGCTAAAAAATACGTAATACTTTTTTTGGAGACAGGAGATACTATTTATTTAATTTTAACCTGCGTTTGTTTATAGTTATACAATATCTTATAAGCACTAACCTTCAACGATAATAACAGCTTTATGTCCCAACGTATTGAAGACATGATTGAGTGCAAAGCGGTAGTGCCGGGCGATCTTATAGTACCCGCGGAACTTAACCTTGGCCCTCGGCAACTGTATCTCTGAGCGATCTGGCTGCTGCACCACTGTGATGGTAGGGTCCATATCGGTAAAGCTCTTTATAACTTGGTACGTTGCGTTATGCCCGCAATCCTAAATAAATGTTTAGCTGTATTATAGTTACAATTGTATTATAGCATCTAAGTAAAAGCTTTCGAGTCAAAATATGGTTTGAAGGTCGAAGGTACAGTCGTGGAAATCGACGGTGTTCCATTTCAGGAAGAATGGCCTTGTTCATTGCAACGAGACAAACGCCGCATCTTCCTACAAATAATTAATTAGATAACAGTGATTGTTGCAAACGAAGTGATGATAATAAAAAAACCCGTGTGTTACTTATCGATTTTTTACATACTTATACATTTATAAGCTGCGTTGTATTGGTTTGTGTTCCGCGTCTTGTTTCAAAATGTTCTAACAAATGTTTCCCCGACTGTACTAGTCATTGTGTTCTAACACTTCCGATGTTATGCGGAGAAACCGTTTAAATACCTACATTTACAAACATAAACATGATGCTTAGTAAATAGACAAAGTAACATATATTGGACACCCTTGTGTAGGTGAGGCGTCAAACAATACCAATGTTTAACAATAGTCGAAGACCATACAAACATATTCGAGGTAAAACTGTTTCTGTCACGTAAATGCCACAGAGGGAATCACGGAAATTGTTGTTTAAATCTGAATTAAAACTATTTTCCACTAACTTGTCCCACATTTACTGGCTAGTAAATGTTTACAAGAGATTCTAAATTGTTACATGCTTTAAATAAAACGCCAATAAATTTATATTGACCAAAATTAGGTCGAGTCTCACCAGCAACAAAAAATTTTTGTATGAAAGAGGTCAGTGCAATTTGTAGATATTTTTAACATAACTACAATATTTAAATGTAGATACCTAAATTGTTAAGTCAATAATTACGACTTTCACCTAAATTGTCCGGAAACCGGAAAAAATATCGTTTAACTGCATACGAGACTCGAACATACAAAATTTAGATATAAAATTTATTTATTACTTATCAATCTTGAGTTAAATAAGTAAATAAATTCTCAATTTAAAGAATTAGAGATAACACAGTCAAACTACAAAGAATAAATGACATCTATAGATAACGTGGTTACGTGTTTTCTCAAACAAAATTCCCGTAAATTTTTCAAACATTACTACCATTTCCACAACATTTTAAGATTATGTAATAAAGTTGTAATAAAACATGTAATAAAAGAAAGTATTATAGTCAAACATTGTGGAATTTGAACCATCAACGTGGAATCCCTCAGTCGTTGTTTTTGTGAAACTTCCTGTCCCACACAACCGTCTTGTGAACAGATTGAATGCGATGGAATTCGATATTATATTAAATGTACTACCACATCGAGTTAAATGTTAACGAATACATAAGGGATAACTTAAGTAACCATTAATGACTATAAGTGTGATAGATAGACATTCAAGATTCTATTAAATAACTATATCCAGCGGGTTAAGAAATCAAGAAGAAAACATTACGTCCTTTGAGTGAAAGGTTTCATTCTAATAGAATTATAACTATCCGTAACAAGACATTCTATTTAATCTACACATTCTACACATTTCAATAAGAAATTATCAAAACTCACTGGCTTCAAATATGTGACATAAAAATATAGTCATAGTTACGTTACGGCGGAGTAGTTTTTGAGTTTATCCGAACTACCAAACCAAACATTTAAATTTGTAATTTAAACAGAAGTATGCGAAAAATACTTGCTTTGTATATTTCTGTAGGAAATAGGAATTAATTCCCTAGTATAGCTCTTTAAAACACTACGCAAATGTTTAAGTTTTCAAGTTCATTTGGGCAGTCTAGCATCTGATGACGCGTAGAGACCGACTGGTATAAAAGTTGGTTTTTATTACTAAAATCCCTTACATAACAAACATGTTATTATTTTAGTTATCGTCTAAGAAAATGAACATTGTTTTTTCGCATAGATGTTTCTTAGAAAACCTTGGTATGTCTTGACACCCTGGACATGAACGTAGGGCGTCTAAACCGGTGTTGATCTAGTTTGATAAGAGTTTTATTTATAACTTACTTGACTGATTATGATGGGAAAGGTTTCCTTGCTGGGTCTGAACTTGACCAAGCTGTCTAGACAACGCTTTACTGTGATCCTATCGCATGCGATCACTAGCACTGGCAGTATAGGATTTGAAGCTCCTGAAAATTAACAAAAAGGTTATATATGTCTTAATAATGTATTTATATATTACAAATGCGAAAGTTTAGATGGATGGATGGATAGATGGATAGATGGAAGGATGGATGGATGGATGTTTGTTAGCGTTTGTAGCCTAAACGGCTGAACGGATCTCCATGAAATTTGGCACAGGTTTACAACATAGTCTGGAAGAACACATAGGCTACTTTTTATTGATTCATTAATTTAGTTTTTTAAGGTTTACTCGATCATTCTGCAACGGTTCAACATATCTTATTGAAATTTGGCACAAATATAAAACAAAGTCTGGAGTATACATGGGATAAGCTTCATCCCCGAGAAATGTCCAGTTCCCGAGGGATATGTAGCTTTTTGTAATTCATATAGTTTGTATGTTTTCTAATACCACGCGGACGAAGTCGCGGGCAACAGCTCGTGTATTTTTATTTATAAAAATGCTTGGATACTTGTCCTCTATAGTATTCTAACCGATAAAACTTTAGTAAGGGTGCACCGCCGCTTAAAACTGTTTGCACCATTACGTTTTAGTTAATTTTAGGATTACTGTTTCCTATAAGCAAGTCATGTCGTTAAACTAGGAACTATAACAAAACTTAAATGTCTAAACTAGGTAACATAAGCCTATGTCATTTGTCGATTACATTTCCGACTCATTTTCAATATGAAACAATCGCTATATGGTAGACTATATTAGTAACAAAATTTATATGATTTAATTAATACTTATACCATCTTACTAATAATATAAATGCGAAAGTTAAGATGGATGTAAGGATGTTTTTTTAGTATTCGTAGCCTAAACTGCTGAGCGGATCTCGATGAAAGGCATAGATGTAGAGCATAGTCTAGAGGAACACGTAGGCTACTTTCGTTTTTTTTAATTCTACGCGAACGGAGTCGCGGGTAAAATTTATTACTTTATTTTCGCCGAACAAATTCTTCCGTAACAATTACGTATTAAGTGATAATCGTAATTAATGTTTACGGCGAGCAATCCATATACCTGCACGCTTATCCATGCTTCAAAAACTGTAACATGACATTACATTTACATATAACTATATGAATACCTAAATACAATTGAAATGCTCTGATAGTCTCATATTGCTAGGCAACGATCTGGTACAAATATAATGTATGCGGTTCTATCTATCAAATCGTTCTATTATCGCTGAGCGAACCAGATGGCCGATTTGTTATACATTTACACAGCTGGTTTAGATAATAAATGCTATAATTTTGCATTGGATAATAAACGTAATATGTACAAAGTACTAATACATTCGACTGTAACAGATATAGTACGGTAGAGAAAGGTAGATTCATAGACGTCGGTAAGGAGTTAGAAACTGACCCCCTAAGATATTCCAAAATTGTTGATATTAAATATATAAAAATTACTACAAATATCAGAATTTTGGTATTAAGTGACTTGAATCATTGGCTGTGGATTGGTATGGTCATAGACGTAGTATTGGAAGCCTATTTTGCGACAACAATATCCGGAGTGGACATTTGCTAGAGCAATCTGTTGCAAATAATTTTGATTAATATCACAGGTTATTTTAACTGTTACTGATAACATGAATGAAATAAAGTCCAAATCTATTGCCATGTTTTATTTTATTCTTAATAATGGTAAACTATAGTAGTTTAGCATATGTTCGTAATGCACACGGGTAAACCGCTTTTGCCTTGATAATAAAATATCAACGCAATTTACTTTTTACGACTCAAAGCAATTTACATTACATAGAGAAAAACTTTTATACTTCATCAACTTCATTTTTGCTGACATTCATGATGGTTTTAAACGACCGAATAAAAGCAAATAAAGATATGTTTAGCGCAAAACTTTCGATGTCACTGGGTGGTTAATTTCAAATGATCATTTGTACCTATAAAACATGAGACTACTAAATCATTTTTTTACAATGACTTAAAGTAGACATAATAATTATAAATATTAGTTATCATCTCTGTATAAGATTCATTACAATCTTTATAATACACCACATGCAAGGGCGGATCCAGCTTTGGCGCCAGGGGGGGGGGTCACATAGTCGTGGTCAAGTCAAGAGCTTGACAAAATATGTAAATATATTTAGTCATGACCCCATGACCCCCCCTTGGATCCGTTGTTGACTACATGACAAATTTTGAATAGATAATTTTGTTCCCATGCATCTCCAAAATGGCTAAACTGATCTCAAACAAATTTGGCACAGTTATAGATCATAGTCTGAAAAAAAAAACATAGGCTCCTACATTTTATTTAGCGCTGCCAGAGTAGTCGATAAAATGTAATATCCACGAAACATTAATTTATCTCAATAAGTATTAGAAAATCCACATTGCCTACTGTTTATAATTTAGTATACTCTTCAGTTATTATTCAAAATTACAGTTAGATGAAATATATGACCCCTGAATCACAGAGTAACTTGATATAAACCTTTTAAATGGTAAAAGATATATATTTGGTTTAATAGCTTACAAGTTTATTATAGAATTCTCTCTCCCTCTCATCTATACTAATATCATACACAGGAAATATTAGTATCTTTGTGTGTATTGAAATAACTCAAAAACTACTGAAGCAATTTCAAAAATTCTCACACCATTAAAATTCTACATTATCTGTAAGTAACAAACGCTATATTTTTTGATGTCCTTAATTTCACGCAGAAGAAGTCGCGAGCATCCGCTAGTTACAAATATTAGCACAGTTAATTTTAATATTTGATAAATTTAAATTCCATTTGTCAGTATAGGGGTGTGAAGCATAATAGAATTAACCTACAAGTAATCCACGCTTCACACATCTATTGAATATTTACTACCAAGTTACATAAGTAAAGTCCTAACATAATAATACAATAGAATTAATTATGTACATAGTTAAGTTTAAAACTATTATATTAAATATTATACAATGAATGTAGATCACAATGTTTATCCCATTCTGGAGTTGTAGAATAAGTTAAAAGTTTTAAATTAAAAATATCTCCACAGATTGACTTTCAATTCTTTGGAAAAAATCTAAGTGTTATCTCTTAACAATATGTCTATAAATAATCATACTAATATTATAAATGAGAATGTTTAGATGGGTGGATGGATGTTTGTTAGCATTTGTAGACTAAATGACTGAATGGATTTTGATGAAATTCAGTAAAAATGCAGAGGATAATCTTGAAGAACATATAGGGTATTCTTTTTTATATTATGCAGACGGAGTCGTGGGCGAAAGCTAGTAACTCATATTTGCAATAAGTGCATGTTAGAATACTTTGAATATTATGTTTCTTAACGAATAATTTTAAAGATACATTTTTCATTGTATTTATGTTTGATTATTTTGCGATGCAACAAATATCTGTCTGCAAATAATATCCAAATTTAAAGATCGTCTAATCAACCAATCCAGACTATGTTAACTAACGCATAGCTTAAACTTTGGCCGGAGTCAAATCTTTTGTTCTATATGTGCGGATAACTTATTAATGATAGTTTAAAATTATTCTTCTAACTAAATGGCAAAGATAATTCAGAAGATAAAAAGAAAGTTTTGCTAATGAGAACAAATAACTAGCCAAACAATTTTAAACATATATGTATCTAAGTCAACAGAGATAACTTAATAACATTGTGACCTTCTTTATGATATCATTTTAATTTATACTAGCAATAGTTTTCTTGAGGAAAATGTAAGCATTTATAAACATTTGAACAAGAATTTAAGCAATGGCAACTATATTTTACTCTTTTCCAGTTTAATATAATTTATGGTTCTGCAGATATAATCAATCTTAAGCAAAGTAATTTATTGATGGTATATAAAGTTAAAGATAAGATTGTATTATATGTATTACATTAGCTACAAGGAAATCAAATACTTACATATTTCAAATTTGTTCCTACATTTACTCTTTTGTTTCTTAATTGAATGTTAAAAAAAATATGGATTTGTTGTATACCAGTTGTACAAAGACATAGATGAAACTAAAAAGGATACAGGAAAACTCACCTTCAATGTCTATTTCATTTTCTATCATTTCCTTAACCTCTTCATGGACATTTTTCTTTAAATGTTGTTTCACTTTAGCCAACAAATTGTTACTATCAGATAATTGCTGATCCATCTTAACCTGAAGTTTATCTAGTCGATCTTCAAGATCTACCACTTTATTCTGTGGCGGGGCTGATGTAGGGACCTCTAATAACGATAAGCGAGATACCAAAAACCATATCGTAACTAAAGCAACAGTTGTAATTGTCAATCTTCGTAAGTTCTTACGCATTTTGAACATCTTAAATAATTTTAATAACAAAATATTAAACTGATCAAGTCCATGGCACTATTCAGAGTATGTTACATACATCGTACATTGAAATATAATTTGTAAACACAACATGGAAACAGATATGACCGGTGAAGAAAGTGTTTATAATAAATAATATCTGAAGCGATCTAACGTATTTTCGAATGGATTATTTGAAAAAGCCACTTGTTTCTTTCACGATTGTAAGAAAATTTGCTAAACTGTTATTTATTAAAATAAATTTGATTATTTCGCAAGGAAATAAGAAAATCACAACAAAACCTTCCACAACCACAGTAAAATACTCACTGTGACATTTGCTGACACTGACACGTGACACGTAGCGTCAAAAATGACTGATCAAAGAGTATGTAAACCAGGCGAGTGTGTAACGTCTAATGATTTGAGGTTCAAGGGTTGACTTGAATCTTCTTGTCCTGGGTTCAATCCCGAATCGATTCCTGCGCATTTACCAATGTGTTCTTTACGAAGAAATTTAAAAGCCGAACTTGAAGTTGCTGAATCTGCTCTGAACCAACAAGGTTGATGAAAGTCATGTTGTTTTATTATGATTATTATTATTTATAACTGAAGGTGGCAAACGAGCAAGCGGCCACCTGAAACCGCCAAAATGGCGAAGCGACCGCTGCCCATAGACATCCACAATTGCAGATGCGTTGCCTACCCTTATACGACGGAGGAGGAGACGCACATAAAGAGGATATTTCCCCTTCCTATGCATCTCCTCCACCGTCAAATCCACTTTCTCTTCCCAACCTCTCCTTATAAGAAAAGGGTGGTAAAGAGAAAGGAACTTAAATTAGGCCTCCGGCACCACACTCATCAGACGAAACAGGGAATTGCTTCCATGTCACGCCTGTCTTCTGTGTGGTCGTGGTATTACACCGGGCGTGCCGGCCTATTCGTGCTAAGATGTTAAAGCGGGCACTACCACTGTTAAAAATTGTTTATTATTTTTTATTTGACTTTGGAAAGAGGATAATAAAACATAAAGTATGTGTGAATGGTTTTTTTTTTATTTCTATCCGTTTTTAACGAAATGCTTAAACTACGTTATATGCTAAAATTTTCTTCCAGTCTTCTTAAATGATCAACGTTTGCTTCCTGAGGCGAACTGCTGTGATTCAAAATGTTGTTTTTATAAACATCTATGTTTCTCTGCGCTGCATTCATATTACTATAAGCTTCTCTTGGTATCGGTACCAATCTGTTTTGCGCGTGAAGTTTGAGATTATTCGCTATATTTAAATTACGCTCCATGTTCAAAAAAAGTCTATCGTTTGGATAAGTTGCCGGTGCAGGGGGTACTAAGAACGATGGGACGTCAGGTTTTGGCATGGTTCTAAAAAGGTTCCTGTCAAACTGACCATTACTATTTACATTGCCAATGTTATTTAATGATTTTAAAAACGGTTGATGGGTGGTTGGTACTCGGTTTGGGTAGTTGAAAATCCAAAGGCGATCCCCTACGAACATCGGCCTCGGTGTCACAATACCTAAGCTACTATAATACTGCTGTGCGAGAAGTTCAACATCGTTCGTATATTTCCTCTTCCATTTTGTGCGACGATTTTGAAACCATATTTTTATCTGAAACAAACCACATTTAAATTATAAAACTAATAAATACGTTGACTATATAGAAACGGACTAAGCAAAAAACGTCGTTATCAGAAGGTTAACGGTTCTATATGCGTCTATTATTAGTTTTACCTGTGTTTCTGTTAGTCTCAATTGCCTGGCGAGCCTCCCTCTCGCTGCGACTGAAAGATATCGGTTCTTCTCGAATTCCGCTTCCAAGCTTTTGATTTGTTGAGCGCTGAATGCAGTTCGAGCTCTTTTGCCACGAGATGTTGATGGTCCTGTCGAGTAAATTAATTATTGTACTGTTTACCTATCCATAAAATTAGCCATTGAGGTTTATTAAGCGGTTTTTTTATATTAAACCAGATTTAATTGTTTTTGTATTGTTAAAAGAAAAATAAAAAAAAATCTAAATGATATTTTTGGAAGAAGATACATTTCCACTGTCTCAGTTGAGCTATATTTAATAAAAACATTATTTTGCTACCAAGTTAACCTGCAGTTCTTACAACGCATTAGATACCTATTGAATGAAAAAATGAAATGATCTTGTTCCCGGTTGTAAACAGAGCGGACACGGCATGTCATCACCTTGCAGCTATTTTCAATAAACACCTCTTCCCTGTGAGTAATTAGTGGTAATATATCAACATGTCATTCTCCAGAGCGGATACGGCGCTATCTCGAATTGTACAAGCAGTAGTTCTCCGACTCTCACTAATGAGCTTGTAGAACCAAGAAGTTTATATATAATTACCATTAATTATTTTTTAAGCTTTGATTATATACTGGCACACAAGAAAGCCACGTTTTAATAAGTTGAAAAATAATAACAGAAACAAAAATAGACACACGGCAACACAACGTTTGTAAACGATTTATAATGTCGTGTAAACGCTACGTTTGATATACGCGGTGTCGGAATGGTTCTAGTTTCTTTATAACAATTTTACATGACTCGGTGTCATAACAAGTGTTCTTTTTAACTTTATAGATAGTATATTCTCTTAGCTACTCTATTTACAACTTTTTACTGCCGACGTTTCGACGGAAAACGCACCTTTTTTGCACTCTACATAAAACAAGTGTAGGTGGTAGTTAATATTTTATGTCATTTTATAATATTTTACAAAAGTCACAAGTGTAGAATTCGTAATATAAGCAAAATTTTCCAATTATGTACATGTTTTGTTAAACTAACTTATATTATAATATAGATTTGTAAAGATGAATGTCTATAATGCATTTTTGCTGTAATAGTGCTTATGAAAAAATTAAATCATGTTAAAAAGAAAGCAATTCAACTGACAATGCCTAGTGTGTATTATACTAAGATAACACTAACTAAGATTAACAGTTTTTTTAGATCTGTACAGACCACTGTAACCATTTATCACATCACTTCCAATTATGTAGAGTTTAATTTAATTACCTGCTAAAATTAGTTCATTCGCTTTGTTAAGTTAAAAGCGAGCAACAAAACATGAGTGAAAACTCGCTCGCGCTACCACCGACACTGGTAAAGCAATTAATGTCAATATATCGTCACATGTCAACGGTCGATGTCTTTGTTTCGCGCCTCTGTACCATTAACATAGTTATATTTGCCGACATCAAGACAACATTTTTTTAAATTTATAACCTCTATCATGCACTGCAATAAAGTGAAATATCGAATGGCTCGTCTCTTTCATCGATGCATATAAGTAGATCTCAATGGTTGACATAAACACGTTCAGAAAACCTCCCATCCGCTCTCTGGTAATAGAATTTTACAGCTTTTTAATGAGCCCAAACCGCTTACTAAATAACAGCCGCGGGACGGTTCTTTTCATCTTTATTTTCCTTTTTTCAACTCGGTGAGTAATTACAAGAGAGAAAGATTTAGCTAACGAGACTCGGGTGGAGTAGAGATTTATCTTTTTCGTAACAAATTTAGAAAATGAGACATCAATGCGCGGTTGCTCGCCCGTGTGTGCGTGTGTCCAATAAATTGTTTTATTTGTTTGTACGAACGAGACGTCAGGGAACCAATTCAAACGGCTAATTTGAGTCCAGCGCCACGAACATAAAAAACCTAGGAGATGTTTAAACGTTGACTGCTCGTAAATAAATTAGCACACGATTTTATTTTGCGATTGTTCGTTTGAAGGAGTTATTGCTGAAACTTTGAGGACACTTCTGTACTGCTCAAACCCGTCGACCGTAAACATGCAAAAAACATGTCAGTTTTGTCAGTTTAGTTTGTCATTTTTCGTAATTTGACTGTCCGGTAAAACGCTTACCTTATAACTTGGATTTAATTGATTTATTGGTTAAACGTGGAAGTTATGAACGATATTTATTTTTATTAATGTATTTTTAGATAAGTCTTTTTGTTTTTTTTATTGTTTATATATTCATATATCAATATCACTACGCGAACTTAAACATATTTCAAACTCAATCTTAAATATTATCATTTCAAAAACATGTTAATAAAAAATATAACTTTGACTCGGAAACATTTAAAAAAGTCAATATTATTTTGGTTGTGCGCTAACAGACTTACAACTCAAATAACAGTTAATTGGCGCCAAAAATACACATGACGCGCAGAGGCAGAGCCAAATGCATGGCGTATAATGTCAAATGGCTCGTGAAGGCGCGAAGTTACACAAAGTTTTTTCAAATTAATTACCGTTGCTCGTGTTACTGCAGCTCGTTTTACAATGATCAATCCTTCGTTTCACATTAAATAGACAGCTGAGGTTTATCTAATAATATTTCCGTTGTATTCGATAAAAAATACTCCAGTTGCTTTGTTAAAAATACACGTAAAATCACGAAATGTTCAGGTAAAAATTAACTACGAGTAAATCTAACTTACCGACCAAATTTTAATATCGAATCTAAACTTTTAACATTTAATTACATTAAGAGCTAAAGATATCGGCATCATTAGTATGGTTACTGATTTCAGTCATCTAACGGTCGAAGAGCCCGCAGCAACATTAGGCTACTCCACGAATGACCCGATCACACAGAATATAGGCGTGAAATGCAAGTATTTCTGCGTTTCACCTGATCATACTTGATCCAGAGGACAAATATTAGCCTTAATAATAAATCTAATAATTCTTTATTAGAGAACGATTGTACCATTTCCTTCTAGAAGAAAGTGCAGGGTATACAATGCATAGAAAAGGGAAATATACCTTTTTTGTACATTTTTTTTAGAAAAGGGGGCAAACGAGCGGTGGGAACACAGAGGTGGTCAACGACGCCTATGGACATCCGCAACACCAGAGAAACTATAGACGCGTTGCTTGCCACGGAAATGGTAGGCCTTCTTGAACCCTAAGTTTGTTTGGAAATACCTCTGAAGACAGACTGATTTACAATGCCGCAATGCGAGGCAGAAATCAGCCAACGAGATGGTGTGGATGGTACCTGGCTGTCTGTCGTATCTTCCGATGTCGAAATACGCGGCAGAAATCTCTACATTCTAAGCGGATAGCAGTTAAGGTGTGTAAAATGAATACAACGCAGCTCTTAAATGAGCTTGTATGAATTGGTGATACACGACTACTTTATTTTTATTCTTTTTCTTTCGTTTGCACTACTAACTGCTATCTTATTAGCTATATGTAGGAAGAGGCGGATTTCCGCGACTGTACTTGCATCCCAGATTCAGATTCAGATTCAATCGCTCAGCACACTCTATTCCGTCATTATAATTTCCTACATAACACGATTCAATAATTTACGTTAAGTTCTACGATTTTTATGTTTGTGTTATTGAGCAAGCTACTGAACAGTGAAATAGGAATATGTATTGAATTTACGTAAATGAGAGCATTTTCAATTTAAAAGAAAATAGCAATTTTGGAAAAGTTATAAAATATATTAGTCTAATTTACTAAGTTATAGTTTTCGTAAATATTTGATCTAGACCATTATTTAATTTTTCTACTCTACAGTCTACAATGAAAATTACGCGTTCTAATAATTTTCCATGAGGATATTTTTTTTTACTATGGTATTAAAAAACATCTTACTTAGATGATATCTAGATTATAAGTAAAATGTATTTTAACGCTGCGGATAAGGTAAATAGTAAGTAATAAGTACTTATATTTTTACATCAACAAATCCAACCGCTTTAAATTTTTATTTCCCCCGGGATTTTGATTATAACTAAGTATACCTTTATTTTGTGCTATCAAATATGTTGAGAAACGTATTTTTTTTTCTTGGAACCAGTATATCCAAAACATTTCTAGCGTTCATGTTTAACTAATGAACTGTTCGGTATTTAAATCTTTATTATTGAATTACTTGTAATAATAAACTTACCTGGTTGTTGATAATCAGGCGACTTGACATCCGCGAAATCATGGCAATCGTCTGCGGTCGAGATTTCTACGTCTACTTGTTCAGAACTATCGCTAGCTTTGTCGTCATCGTCTTCTGAACCATGAGTCTTTTCTCTATTACACAAATCTTCATAGAAATTCACTGAGTTTGCGCCCGCGAAGTTATTAATGTCTTCCGATTTGTTACTTTCTTCTTCAACCCGCTTTTCAAATTTGTCAGCCAGTAAATTGTCAATCGAAAATGTAAGTTTAGTTTCCGATTTATCCACTTTAGGGTCTGGTGTTTTCATTTCTTCCACTTCCATTGCATCGCTTAGTTCCAAAGACATAACTTTATTCTCACTATTCACAGAGGACTCCTACGTCCGTACCCTGTAGAGTCGAGGAACATTTTAAAACTTTAGAATCCAAAACACTTTTTCTTCTCCATGTCTGATTTAGTGTCGGGTAACTCACACACGATAATAATTTAAACCAATTCGAAACTCTAACGACGCGTTTTTGTCAAATTGGATCGCTGAAACGACTGCGAGTCGAGAATGTTAACTGCCTCTTCTGAAAAGCATAGCCGACGATGCGCCTTTAATTGTGTCCCCCTTATTCTTTAGACAATAGAGTTCAAAATCTTTCAAAAGGGTAAGATTTATCGTCTGGTTGGGATACCGTCGATCGAAATTAAGATGGAAAACCTCGACTAATGGGCGTCTTTGTGGATGACAATATTGTATGCCACATTTAGTGGCTTCACGATATATTTTAACTTCTATTGGCTTAAAATAAAGTTCAAAATCGAGTATTGTTTCTTAAACGATGCAAATAGCTCTCGAAGACGGTAGTGTGATATAATTAGCAATAAACCAATGAGGGCGCTGTGGGCGTGTCGGTACGGGCACGGATGCGCCCGCGCACGTCTCCCCGTACATCAAATTGGGATTTATTTAAGGAACCGCTTGAGATATGCGCATCTTCATTAATTGTGATAATTATTTAGTTAGTCGGTGTAATTGGACGCGTCACGTATGCGGGGCGGCGCACAGCATCCCGCCGAGGGGTTATTTATAACAGGACGATCGTTATTTATTGATAATTATTGTCGCGGTAATCACTTACGTTGTAATTGGGCTTAAAACTATCACATCATGTTTAAAATACGAACAATTTGCACCAGATTAATGATACAAAATGAAGTGGGATTTCAATTTCAAGGATTATTTCTAGCATTTATTAGCACCTAGCACTCACCGTCGCAAAATTTTAAATACGAACAACGTAAGTTGCATTGTATAAATAATGATTCTTTTAGTTCTATCAAGTTAAAGAACTATTGTTGGTAATAGTTTACACCACAGAAAAAGTAGAGTATCGATACGATATTATAGGTACGTACCTTTATTTCGCTGCATAATGAATGGGTTTTGTTATTTTTAAGTTGCAGAGTAGACTTACAATATTACTTTTCATTATAAATAGAGAGGCTGGAGGATCCGTACAACAAACTTTTTTTTAATTTATTGGCAGTAGGTATATCGAAGTACTTCCAAGAAGTAAAAAAAAAAGTTTGAAAAATATCCAACTTATTATATTTTATTGTACTTTAAGTAATTTTAAAGTCGTTCACAAATTTTAGAACGTAAAGAAAAACTGAATCTTGGATCATATATTTTAGGGCTACCTAATATTATACAAAAACATTATTAAACAAAGCCACGAAGGTATCACACCTATATCGTATTCCCTTGCAAATTGTTAGATATGCAGATAATTAATCTGTTAAACTAGAAACAGCAATCTTGCCAACATAAGACAGTGCCAAGATCTAATAGAGCCGAAACTAATGTTCCTCATATTAAAAGCAATAAATTAAAAATAAAAAACACGTCCCTGTTGCCCCTTCAAATAACCGACATATTTTGTCATAATTAGGCTCGCTCTGTGGCGCTTCTTTTTTTTTCGCTTAATTTTTTTGTTGACAGTGATTTATTGCGATCGCTCTGTTAGCCTACCATTCGCTAACTGAACCTATCGAAAGTTTGTATAAAATATTTTAGTATCATTAAGTTTTTTTTTTTACATAAATAATAGCAGACAATAAGAAATTCTACAATGGTAAACATAAGTAAACGGTAAACGACTACAAATTAGTCAAACATTAGAGTGAAACATTTTCGAGCTTGATCTTTATGTTATTTTTAACACAATAGTTACATATTATTGATCCCACTGTATGTTCTATATCACATCATAATGCCTGGTTTACATTTGGCTAGTGCAGTTGAACAGTAGTGCAGGCTTGGAATGGACTGAAGGGTATCACTGACGACACTTAGTGATTACTTTATGCTGGCGCTGACCAAGGCTATAGCTTACTTTACTGATCTAATGTAAACCAGGTCTGACTCTTCATGGTCATGACAATCTTATTTAAATCTTAAGCATAACAGTGCGCTTCCTCGTACATCTGTGTCAGTTTTTTTTGTCGTTTTTATTTTTTAACTCATTTCAATGAATGAAATTATTGGACGAAACTATTTAATTGTTTCAAGAATCTTACTTTTGACTAATATTATAAATGAAAGTTTAGATGTATGTTTGTTAGAGTTTGTAGCTTAAATTGCTGAATGTGTCTCGATGAAATTTAGCATAGATGTAGACTATAGTCTGCAAGAACACATAGGCTACTTGGTTTTTTTCATTTTTAATTCCAGGCGGACCGAGCCGCGGGCGAAAGCTAGTAATATATTAAATAAACTATTCTCTACAACATTGTTTCCGGCAATAAGTTCCTAAAGGTGCATAAAAAGTTAAATATTTGACAAGTCGGCGCTGGGACTTGTTTCCGCATATTTGACTGGGGAATGCGAACTTTCAACCCTGGCGCTTCTAAATTGCTTCGGTATGTGGCGCGAGCGTGTCGCTTACAATGATTTACACGTGTAGGGGACGGCCCAGTTTGTTCACAAACTTAATTAGACCGGCACCGATGGATACGAGAGAAGTTCAATGAAACAAAATACTGTCGAAAATACGCCTAAGTAGGATAGACTAAGATTATTATATTTCAAAGGGACCAGTTTACACGATTTTCGCGGTTATTGTAATTCTGAATGGCTTATTGGGATTTGCTATATATCCCAAATATCTTGTCTCTTAAAGTGATTCTCCCTCGATTTATATTTTTATCCAATCTCTGGATTAGTGTCCGAGAGGTACCAACGATTCGTCAGACTGACCGATTTGCGTGTGACGTCACTGTATGTCATGGGATAACACCACTGAATGCAGTCAACTGTCTTTATTCTTGATCCCGTTACTTGAAGTTCCAAAATTCGCGAGAAAAAGCGCGCGTCTAATAATTTAGTAGCTGTTCATTGCTTGCACGTAAGCCTTGCTAATGAGGCGAAGAAAATTAACTTTATTTTATTAGGGCAGCAAATGGTTTATTTTAAAAAGTGGAGCTATAAAATCTATAACATCTAGAAAATCTCATCAATGAACTTTTATTTTGGTAGGTAGTAAAGGTATAGAAAAAATAAAGAAAAAAGTATGTTTAAATAATTTTTATTACTCTTTTCTCCTTTTCTTCTTTTTAGACTTTGTAATAGATGCAGAGTTTAAGTCATCACAGTCTGGAAATAAATCATCTAAAGTCAGCTCACTTATATCACTTGCATCTTCAGAATTTTCTTTCTCTCTTGAATCATCATTCTGTCGTTTTATAGTAGTTTTTTTCTTATTCTTAACATTTACAATGTTATCTACTGGCTGGTATGACATTTTTTTTTCTTTTTTATTAGTTTTACATGTTTGAAGTAGATCCTCTTCACCATGATTATTATTACGATTACTTTGAGGTTCTTTTCCTTCCAAGTCTTTATGGCAGAGTTTTTTCTTTTTCTTTTTAATTTTAACAGGCATACTGTCAACATCACTATCTAAACTATTGTTTTCAACAACTTGATCATTGATTTCTCCCACTTGGTCTTTATTTTTTCCTTTCTTTGTATGTGAGTAACCATTATATTTATCTTGATTTAATAGCATTTGCTCTTGTTGCTCTATTCTTGCTAATTTTCCCAATGCTTTAAGTCCATGGCGTGCACCTCTGCAAATTACATAAATTATATTTAAGTTATTTAAAAAAAATTATGGTACATCAATTTAAAATACTGTGTTATGTGAGTTTTTACTACTTATCAAGGGAGTGCCTGAAGAGATTTCACAGATATTTGTTATAGATGTAACCTGGCCAAACACATAGGCTTTTAAGCATTTTTATAATTGGGCATGGTTGGAGTCACAGCAAAAGCAAGTTACTAATAGTTAAATACATTTTTTTGTTAAGAAAGATGTAGGAATAGAAAAGTAACTTACTTATGTGCTGTTCTGCCTCCACACGCAGCAAATAATTCTTCATCGGTCATTTTAAAAACATCCTTTACAGTTGTCTCATTTTCTGAATCACTTTCTTCAACATCCTCAAGTTTAGAACCTCCATTATTTAATATGGCTTTTTTCACAAAGAAATCTGTATACCCTTGATCAGGTTTATCACCTTTCTTTGTTCTTTTAATTTTCCAAGTATTATTTGTTATTTCAAATTCTGATGAGTCCTTTTGTTTGATTCTTTTTGTTTTCCCATTTTTATTTTCGACCTTAAATAACGTAAAATTATCTTAAGTAAACATTAACATTTTTGTTTGTTTACTTTAAATATTACAATTCGATTTTAACACTTTAATGACATTCCAAACAAAATAGTATTCAAAGAATTTTAACAAATTAAAAAAGGAACATGTATACCTCCAAGTTCATTGCGGCCTTATTGTATAAGTCATTCCACCAATGCTCTGTGAAATCGGCTGCGGCATCATGACCAACTCCTGCTACACTCCTTTTTAGCTTTGGTTTGAGTGCTTCTGATATTCCATTTTCATACTTCCCAAGTCCTTTGCCTAGAAACAAGTATTTTAACATTAACAGAGATGTATCAAGACAATCAATTTAATTAATTTAAAATCAGTATACTTCTGTGTTTACCTGCGCTCCAACCATACTTTTCCAATTGCTTTCTTGCAAAATCCATGATATACAAATATCGATTTATTTTCTATGATTAAAACGTATAAATAACCTAATCCTTAAAATTGTATTATAAGTAAACAAAAGTTTTATCGATGTATGAAAATTGTAAATCATAAATTTGAGAAACAAATAATTAATTGCAAATTAAACTATTCAACTATTCTTTGCATTTTAAACAAACTTTTTATAGAATGCACGCACAATTGTCCCGAATCCAAACACATGTTGATGAATTACTGACATTGACAGCTCGAAAGCGACAAAACGCTGCACTAGCGGCATGGTCTTTAGCCAAAAGTATACCACTTTCTCATAATGCATGTTTATTTAGTTAGACACAGACTGGGACAATCCTAAACTAAATAAAAAGCAGTAACTGGAATGAAATTGTATCACAATCTATATTTAAAACGTTAACAAATGTCCATCCATTTGTAGTTTCTGTTTTATTTCTGAAGTCTTGCTTTACTTTGTCTTTATATCGTTCAAATCATCAATTGTCGATTCAGTATAACTAAAACATAAAATAAAATAACAGTTATGATTCAATGTTGAATTTAAAAAAAAATAGGTTTATGAGAAAAGCTTGATTGGATGACAGAGCGACCATAAAACATTTATTATTTAATAATAATTTTTTTGCTTGCCTTTAATATTAAGAGCAATTAGTTTCATATTGCATAATTTTAAGTTATCAAGTTAAATTTCCATTTTTGCCACCCTTACCATCAGGTGTACATCAGATCAATATGGAAAAAAAGTATTGAAATTCTCAAATACAAACTCTAAATTATTTCTTAATAGCGGAAAAGTGATCATAGTTTTTTTCTCTCTGTGACCTTTCCAAGTACGGCAGTCCATGACTTCCTGTGGATGAGTAATTTTCAAACATTTGATTGAACAGAAGTTCTTCCTTAAAATTTTTCATGAAGTACACCCAACACTTGATTCTTTCATTCTCAGTTGTACCACTAGAAAAAGTAATAACTTTTTATTATTTATGTTGCGTTAATGCGAATGACGCCTAATTTCATGTTAGAATATACACATATCTTAAGGAACTTTTCAACAAGGACAAACATATCTTGTATGAAAAATAGAAAAAATCCAAAGTGTAGGGGTGATAATACTTAAGTCACAATATAATGTTATTATTTGTTTCTTATATTAATACCCCATGGTATGCAGTATAATAAGTATTCAAACTATATATACATACGGTCTTTTAATATCTATATCATCTATCTCTCTTATATAGTAATTTGGATGATCCTCAAGTTTGTCCAAATTGCTCATCATTTTTTCATCAACCTCATACACCTCCCCTATAAAGTATAGTTTATTAGCAAGTCTACTAAACACATTCCATGACAAAACAATTTTGAATGCAAGTGAACTCACAAAGCGAGTTGGTGGCAGTGAATGTGTTTAACAGAGCATGTATTAATACTTTTCAATAAATAAAAATATGGGTGAAAGTGAATTGATGTGTGAACATTAATGAAAAGATGATGATGAAAACCTTTAATTATAAAGTAAAGTAAATAATAAAACCTTGTACATGATGTCCAACTCCGGGTTTATATAGTACAAATGGGATATTATATTTAGTTCCAATAATCAAAGGATATTTCTTGCATGTTTGTCCATTGGCTATAAATTTGCTTACACCATTTTTGCTATCAGTCAACCAATAGTGATTCGGTTCTTTCTTTTTTAGTGTACCATATACAAAGACCTTTTCACTCATCTAAAAAGTTTCATATAGGGATATTTATTATTTATGTGGCACAGATATGGAATCGGTTGGATAATTAATGAAATCATATTTCTTTTTTTCTAGTGCCCTTTATAAGTCCTTTATAATAAGGCATCTGACTATGCAGTTTATATTAGGCAGGGAACATTAAAAATTATGGTTCCTTGGTACACCATTAACCATAATACACTAGGGTAATACTTTACAACAGTGAATCATGCCAAATTTTAATAAATTTATTTTAAATATGAAATTATCTCATTTACATTGTTATATTTGTTTTGGGGTCGTAATTTAATTCGAAGAAACTATAATTATTTCCTTTCATACTTTCCCAGTGTAACGTTTAAATTCACATTTTTACGTTTACATAAATGTCACTTTTTTGTAATAAAATTGGTCCGAATTTCTATATTAAAAACAACAAACATGCTATTAAACATCTCCCTTAACCTAACCTATACTACCTACTGTTAGTTTTCGACTTAATTTAAAAAGTTCTAAAAATAACCTAGCTATTCAGCTTGATTTTAACATAATTTAACATGTTATAAACCTAACCTATCCAATTCATTTTTTCCCGTGTTTCAAAAATTATCCAGCTTGTTACGCAACCTATGCGGTTTATTATGATTTTTTAAATTTCATCTTTTTTAAAGAGATCATTTTTTATCGCATAAAGTATATTTTCACAAAGAATCAGAAATTATATGCTATTATACTTACCTTTCTAAAATGATTTAAATAACTTGTGGAAGGGGTTTTTATAAGTATTTGAAATCTTGTAACTATCATGTGGTATTATTATTAGAGATAAGTACAAACAATCTTATACTAATAAATCAATCAATCTTATATTACAAAAGAGATATGGTATTTTTGTGTAAACTGTCTAATAGAATTATTATAATGTGGTAATTCTTTTGCTCTTCCCAGTATGATTTTCAGAATTTAAATATTTTCTTTATTTAGGAATTTTTATTACATTGACGTTTGTTAGTTTGATTTGACTTTGACTTAAACAAAAAATATTGAACAACATACGCATGTTACGGTAAATATAATTAATTTCTTTCATAATTTACGGGTATTATTTATAATATCTAACAATGAAAGTAAAAGGTAAAAAGTAAGAAATTCATCACATTTACCCGTGATTATACATAACAAAAAAACAAACTGCATAGGTTACGTTAGGTTAGAACATGATAAATAAATTTAAAAACAAACTGTCAAGCGAAAACTTTGTATCAGTCTACTAGCTTTTACCCGCGACTTCATCCGTACATAATGAAAAAAAAATACAAAGCATAATAATTTTTCAAAATATATCGTATACTAGTTGTTTCCGCCGCCAGCGTAATAAACGTGAGTTCTGTGTGTTAGCCGGATAATAATTAGTTTAAAACTTATTACTAGTTGAAAATATATAAAAAAAGTGGATTTCTTACTTTTTCTGATGTGAGTAGTGAATTATTCTTTTATCGTAAATTATAAACCAACGGGGATAGAACTTTTGTGACATTGACAGTGGAGCGCCTGGTAATTTTTAGAGTTACTGCTAACCTAAAAATCCCCATCTTTCGAAATTCTTCCATCCCAAAACAAAACCGGACATTATGTTAACGATTTGCAACTCATTGCCCAAGTGCCCGTAGTAATTGTGTACTATCTGAACTGATACACCTTATATTCAAGCAAATACTAGGTATAGTTTATATTTTTTGTTTAATATTGGATTGTGTTCATTAAATAACAATAACGAGTTATTGTAAGATAGCATCAACATGCTCATGACCCTAATGTCAGCAACTAAAATCAAATTAACACACGTGATAATTTATCTGGAATTTCAAATGTAACTAATTGGCAACATTCATTGGAGCAGTTGCTGTTCCCTTATTGGTCAAAATATAACGCTTTCAAGGTTACATTGTAAGTTCACAAAATTGCCAACTGTCACATTTGTAGGTCTAAAAAGATTTGTCGCCTACATAAAGGATTACCTAGATTTATCTTGATGGATAAACTGTTACAAAAATAAATTAGAAATTTGGCGTTTACATAAATTGTGGTTCGTTGTAATATCACTGTTACCAAAGAGGATTTGAAATAGATTCTGTGTAATTGAAAAAATAATGTCACTGCGCAACTCACAAAATATACTCTGTATTCACGCATTGTCATTTTTATTTATACGTCAATGTCAGTGAATGTCAGTCATTGTGTTCTCACAGCGTATATTGGTCTGTTCTCGCGTTCTTAACGAGTAAAGTATTATTTACTTTTATTGTTAAAAACATTAGTCGTAAAATAAAAAGCATAATGTATTTTAAAATTTTGTGAATTTATATGTTTTTTGAGTACTAGCGTTTTTCCCTCATTTGTTTGATCTTTAAAAATTTCAAAATGAGATTGGCAGGGACAATTTTCAGTAATGTTACGAAAATGTTGGACTTCTATTCACAATTTAATCCATCGCCGCTTTCTATCAAGCAGTTTATCGATTTCGGTAAGTAAATATTTTGTTCATGGTGCACTTCAGCGTTGTTATAATAGATAAGGGGTCCATAGAATATTATGTGTCTTAAATATAACATAAATACTCAACAAAAAATAGATTTTCATAAAGCACACTTTGTTAAAAAAAAACTAATTTATTTATTCTATTGCAAAGAAAGTCTAATACTTTTAAACAAATCTAGTAATATTATAATTCTAATTAGTTATTCTAATAAGTATATTCCGTTTTATTTTGCTTTATAATTGATAATTTTAGTCATAGCAAGTGTTATGATGTTGGAAGTTATATTTTATAATTAATTTACTAACTACCAAATAGTAGAAATTAATTGTATTACATTTAAATAAAACATACCTTATATTTATTTGGAACATAATTTTATAGCAAAACACATTCTGTATTTACACACATGATGTTAATGAACTTATTTTATTTACAATTTCCTCATGAAAATACATATTTTTATACTTTCATTGAGGTAATGATAACTTCCTGTTTGTTTTCATTACATTATTATTTTGACCTTTGCATTAATTTACCAATTTACAGTTTTGTTTTTATGCTATTGTACATCACCATTACATTCATTTGTCATTGTTCTACTTTCTAACTAGTCTATATATTTATCAACATTTCAGGTTTTTTTTTAATATATCCTGAAGATAATAAATCAACTATACTTTATACTTTAAATTATAAGTATGAAATTATGGATGAATGGAGATTTGTTACTACATATGTTCAAAATGAATTTACAGATCTTGATGTAAAGCATAGATATAGAACATAGTGTGGAAGAGAACACAGTCTACTTATTTTTTTTCTGGGCAGACAAAGCCAGAGGCAAATGCTAGTTATACTTGTTTTCATTGTATGATTTTTTTGAGAGACCTATGTATCATTAAAAATAGTTTCATCTGATAATGTTATTTAAAATGTAAACAAAGCAAATGAAACTTATCAGTTTGCAGAACTGATGGATAATAATATGCCCTATTTACTACACTAACACATACATAGCTATATGCACATGAGTATTGTTTGCTGATTATAATTTTGTCTATAATTATATTTATTTAACAATCAATAGAAAAAATATAAATCTTGTCTTACTATTTTACTAATGAAATATGAAAGTTTGGATGGAAGGATGGATGGATGTTTGTTAGAGTTTGTGAGCTAAAAGGCTGAACAGATCTGGATGAAATTTGGTGTAAATGAAGAGGATAGTCTGGAAGAACACATAGGCTACTTTTCTTTTGTTTATTTTATTATTATTATTAATAACTAAATGGACGAAGTCGCGGGGGGCACAGGTAGTATTTTTATAAATATTTGTATATGCATGTGAATCATGTTTACTTGTTAGTACAAATTTTCAAATTTCAACAATAAAACTGTTGGCAATGTCTTTCACTTCTATGTCCCATTACATTTGTGGTCAGTACAGTAACATTTGTACTTTGTGCATACATAATTCCCGTTAAATCTTGTTAGTATCATGTTTTCTGTTTTGTATTCAGCAATGGACATTGGTTCAGCATTTTTGCATAAGTAAATCTTTACAATTTTGTATATGTGGCGAATTTTAAAATATGTAAGTCTTGCTTGTAAGTTTTTGTGGAGACAAATAATGTTGATGTTCCATTGAAAAGAAAAATAATGCGTAAATATTTTCTTGTTCACGGTATTCGTATTTGAAGATCCGAAATCAATAGTATTCTGACTATACTACTGTTGATATTGACATTCATACAAAAACATAAACCCAAGTTTTTCAGATGAAATATATTTTTATAAATATCTGGTTTACAATATTCCAGTCCAGCGATCTAAATCAGCCCTGGATTAAAACTGAAACAAAGTGAACTGTCATAAAATTGTTTGGGTTTCAGTGTAGGTTTCACATTTCTCTATCATATTGTATATAATTTCTAATAATATTTGTATGTAATTTACAATGAAACATGGTTTATCTTTCAACTACGTTTGATGTTTGCATAACATTAAAGCACTTGCATCCAGGCGCCTGCATTAAGTAAACATTTACATAAACAGAAATAGTTTATGATATAAACGAAATATATTTTTGGGCTACTTATATTTGTACAATTCGAAACAAATTATTTATACTGTTATGTAACGAACTGTCCACATCAGCTTTACTCAGGTAGATACAATCTTTTTTTTAAATAAATACAAAGGAAACAGACTAATGCGCGATACACTTGGCCAGTACAGTTGGTGAGTAGAACTCTGATTGAACCATCAATTAATTGGCAAAGTGTGAACGCTAACATGAGGTAATGAGTGTTGCTTGCCGTTGTACATATGTCCAATTGTACTGGCCAAGTGTGGACCACATATAAATTTAAAAAACTGCAATTATTGTTTTAGCCTCTGTTTATGATATAAAAATCAATATATTACATAGTAAATTATTTGATATAATAATGAAGAAGATAGAAAAAAGTAAGTGTACATTGTTAGTCAATGTTTTAAAAGACATATCAATAAGATGCAGGTGAGGATGTGAAGAATTTGTTATTAAATTTTACTACTGGTAATTTACATATTAAGATCATTAATGTAATTAAAGGAAAATTACGTTCATAAAGGTAAAAACACGACACGGAATGTATTGTTTACACGGTTCTTGGCGCCAACATTTTTTTGTCTATGGTTTTTCAAATTGATAAAAGAGTTTTGTTAATATGACTATTAACATCACCTCACATTTACAGACGTTGGAATAGAGACGTAGCGTTATAAATGTTTATTGTATCTGAAAAGAAAGTATACATGATTGTAAAGATAGCTAAATATGTACTGCGACCTGGCGCACCGCCATAGCTCAGGGTCAATGTCAGACGCAAATTGTAGTTGTTGTGTCGATGCAGCTCAGAAGATATGTAGAGCATCCTGGTTATATATTACACTAGTTAGTGATGTGACATGCTTCATGCACTAGGTATCGATATTTCATGAAATGTAGATAAAGAAAATAGACGTTTGTTACACATGATTTAACAGTTCGTGTTCAAATTTACCTTTTTTCGTTGACATAAATTCGTAATCTAATAATTTAAAATTTGGGAATGACATAACATAACGCATAAGTGATTAAAATAACTCTCATCTTGTTTTTTAATATTTTCTTGAGATTCGATAAGTTTTAATGAAAATTTAATTGGCGTTGTACGTTGACTCGATAAGGCATGTGCCATGTCTAAAGCGGTTAACTATAAATACTGTTATGAATGAGTGCCGTGTTACGTGAGCGCCGGATTAGAATAGCTCTTCGCTCTTCCTGCTTTGTAGATCACATTCTACCTGCATTGACAAAATAACCATGCAATTTAATGAACTAAATACGATAGAAATATATTTTTTAATCGTTCTAAATGTATTTAAATTGCCAGTACAATGAAACAATATCCTCTAATGTTATTAAACATTCTAATATTCATTTATATTTAGACCTAGATCGATATCAAATATTTTTTTTATTACTTCACTAAAATCTAGTGAAAAAAGTGTTTATTGACTTTAGCGTTATAGCGTAAACAAGCGATTGACTTGTTTATTATTCTTTACGTGTAACCTTGAAGGTGTTTGTACGTTCAATTTTATTTCATACGTTTGCTTATATCGCTACTTTTTAGTCCAATTAGCTGCAATAGTTTGGTCTATTAGATATCTGGGTTTTTCATTTATCATTTAACTGATATTACTTATAAGCTGAGATAACCACGTGAATTGGATTTTTAGTTGAATTATGATGTATGTAGGTAATAAATTTTATTTCTTAATATCCAATTTTAATTTTATGTTGTATTTTATTTAATCTACCAAATCGTATGTCGCATATGTTGGGATTTATATTTTTTCATGACAGTCTAAGGCTTCTAATTGACCGATTTCCCAAAAGGAGGTACTCAATTCGTCTGTATGTTTTTTTTGTTTTAAATTTTAGATTGGTACGTGAGTGTAAGTACGTAGTACTTTAATTGTACTGTGCTAAAGTCCACAACAAGTGGGCTGGTAATCGTCACAGTAATTGTGCGACGTCATCGTAAACATTAAGACGTTGGACAATATCGTTGTGATAAAATGACAACTGTTGCTACCCATTGATAGAAAATGTAGCGTAATTCTCAAAATTTAAGGATATCTAAGATAGGATTAGATAAATAAACTTAAGTATTATGTAGGGTTATGTACGATACCGCGAATTATTCGCCACATCCTTTAGTTTTCGACATTAACTGATAAGTGATAACCATTGTTGTTCTTCATTAAATTGTTTTTAATTATCTTACTATTGTTGCGTTTGTTCCGTTATAAAAAGGACTGACTTGTACATACATCGTTGTATCACACCCTAGTAAGAAAAGGCTTTCGGTTTAGATCTTAGTAATAAAATTGGAGTAATCATAGCCTGATATGGCGCTCTCTCATGTCGGAGGCCAAGACCCACTTTGGGTCGCTGCGCCAACGCAGTAAGTAAGTAAGTAATCATAGCCAAATATAGAGTGTTAAAGTGACCATTTAGAAAGTGTCCAGAAACAATACAGTTGTTCAAATACTGTAGCGTATATTTATTTTGTCGAACAATATGTATAGTGGTCTGTGATGATGTAAATTTAAACATACATAATGTAATTCGAGGTTAGATCAGTGTGTACAGTGTATCTCGGTTCACATGTTATTGTTGCGACCGCGCCTCCAGCGAGGCGTTACAGATAAAATAATTTATTCTACTTGTTAAATATAAACAATGTTCATATCAGGTTCAATTATTTACCATTTGACAGTGCGTTAAAGCGAAGTTAAAGAAAAAAACTTTTTGAGATGCAAAAATATCATAGAATTGAGTTCATGACAACTGGTAATAGACAATTAAGTCAATGAAATTCAGACGTCACTAAATTTGTCAAGAGTGTCAAACAACAAAAAAATGTTGTTAGTAAATAGTCAAATATTTT